ATAAATTTTGAAGAGTGAAATGTAATAACTTAGTTGTAATCGTAAGACTTCCTTTTGAGGGATTATAAACACTTCATACACCTACCCTTTATAAACTAATTTTAAGAGCGATTTTTACACAAACTAGCTGTTACACTCAGACAGCATTTCCAACCTGCTCAATCGACATTATTGGACATAGTTCATGATAGAATCTTGGAAATTAGGCCATAATTAAGAAATCTCTGTTTTAAGATTTAACTTCAAAATACATTTTGTGTGCTCGTCGAAAGTAAATATATATCATCTACTTTACTCCTTTGTCCGTATAGCTTTTCGAAGATATTATTAAAGTAAAAAATAATTTTTTTCATATAAAATAGGATTTGTTTCCTCCTTTCTCATCCATTCACTCTTCAGTAGTGATTTTTTTAATAATCATTACATGTATAATATGTCAAATTAAGGCATATGAATAATGCTTGTAGTACAAAGCCGAATCCAAATGGACACACGGCGCCTCGGGGACACACGGCACCTCAGTATTGGCTGAAGCGCTGTGGGCCCGACGTGGCAGGCACCTCGACATTGTGTGTCCATTTTGGACACGGCTTTGTACCCGTAGCACAACCGTAAGGCATATAAAGCTAGCGGAAGATTCTTAATTTCTTAGACAGGGTTGTTGCCCATTTTGGTTTGGGCCAGGCTATCTTGAGATTTTAAGCTTATTTGCAATTGAGCCCATAATCTCAAGGGTATGTAGCCCAAGTAGGAATGCCAGTTTCAATCCTAAAAAGTACTAAAGAATAAAAAAAAAAAAAAATTATATATAAAATAATCTACCACTGGTGAGTTTTTTACTATTCTTAGTGTCCTAATAAATAAATAAAAATTCTACATAAGTAAGAGCCTCAAGTAGTTAGCATATAGATAGTTAGGTTCTTGGTTACAATTACCTTAAAAACAACTACCTATGATTTTTTTCCTAGGTTTCTGGTTCACCTCTCTGTCTGAACGAGAAAAAATATATATATAAAAGGCTCTGCAAGCAATCTTCAAAACACCAACACAAAATGACCAAATCAATTTATCAATCTTTAGCACTTACTTTCTTGTCCTTCCTGTTGCTGTCTCCTTCATCAGCACATGACAAGAAATTGCCTGATGTTGATTTCAAGGGAAGTTTCTCCACAGTCTATGCTTTTGGCGACTCGTACACAGATACGGGCAATGCTAAGTTTCTCGGAGGCTTCAATGCCTCAGTCGATGCCAAAAACATCCCATTAGAGAAGTTGAAATCACTAGCACTGGGAACAGTCGAAGCACTAGGAGGAAATCCTACGGGTCGATTGTGTAATGGCAAACTCGTGGTTGATTTTCTTTGCGATGCACTTTCTCTA